GTACTAGTAGTAGTGGTGGTGGTGGTGGTGGTGGTAGTAGTGGTAGTAGTGGCAGTAGTGGCAGCAGTAGTGTTTATGAGTGCACCAGCTCATCGAGTTGCCGGGTTGCATATGCCATGTACACCTGCGCACTCTCTTGACTAGTTGAGTAGGTTGCAAGTTTGCAGCTATTCGTGGTGGAACTTGCCCTTTGTGCTCGCAAAGCACCGGTGCAAAGCACTGGCACTACCTGAACGCCAAGCTGAGCGACCTGCTGCGATTGGAATGAAAAATAGTAGAAGTTTATTGTTGGATGGCAAACAGGATCAACACGAGGCTTCCTAGACTAGGCCCTAAATGACGCAAAGGTGCCGCTGCAAGGTGATCTGCCGCGGCCCTAGGGAAGCCCATCTGTTTGCGCAAGGCATTGGGGGAGTCGGATTTAGGATTCTTTAGCCGCTAGGTTTCGCGCAAAGGCGACAGAACATGCGGACTAAACCTCAGCCCCAGCAACCCAAAACCCGAAAAACCCTGTAACCTGTCATAAGCCCAAAGGCCCTAAGACCCTAAAGCGCTGAACCCGGGAACGGTGAGTATGGCCATTTTCGCTGCAGCCACAAGGCTCCAGTGCTTAGGCCCCCGCGTTTGCAGGGGGAGAGGGGGCATGGCTTCTCCGACTCCCTTGGAGCCTTGTTTGGAAAAACCATACATACATACCTACCTGCATAGATACAGACATATATATGTATATATGCACATGTATGCATGTGCATAATATACGCAGATAAATACCCAGACAAGCATACATGTATATATATATATGTGTGTGTGTATATATATATACGTTGACTTTTTTGGTTTTTGTTAATTATGTGTATAAACGTCTATCGATACTTCTCTATGCATCTCTGTGGATGCTGCTACTTCTCTTTTCCTTGGAGGGTTTGTTCATTAATAACGGCCAAGTACTCTTGTGTTCCTCTCATTCGCCTTGATTTCCAAGTCTAGGAGCCAGAAACCGTGGCGTTCCTTTAGCAATGAGTAAGATCTCAGGACAGGGAAGTTGAATGAAGCCGTTCTGTTACACATTCCGAAGCCCAAATAAAGGAAACACTGCAGACAGAACATGAACTGCTTTCTGGGGTTTTCAAGCGGTTTCTGGTTTCCGAAGCGTCCAGAAAAAGGAGCTTCTTCGAACGACCTTCTCGGCTGCAGCTTCTGATGGGCTGGCAAAGAAGTTCGCAAACACTCCCAAGGACCTTGAACAAACTTTGTGCTTTGTTGCGGGTTCCAGGTTTTACGAGTCTAAGTACTTGTATGCAGTACTGTAGTAAGTACATGCATGCATCTAGGTTTAGGCTTTGGCACTAAGCATCATTAAGTGGTGTACCGGTTCAAAGGGGTACATGTCGAAAGCTCTCGTTGGCGAATTTGGCCAAAAACCGAGGTAGTTATTGGAATTGCATTTCCAGGACAGGTTCGGGTTTAGGGTTTTCTTCGTGGGAAGTTCAAGGGTTCACAGCTAAACCAGAATGCCAGACAAGACACGAATACAAATTGACGCAGACACACACGCGCATATACTCATAGGTATGTGTATACATACATACATGCATATGTGTGCGTGCGTGTGTGCTTGCATGCTTGCGTGTCTGTATTATACTTATATATATGGGTATATTGCGAATGCGCCTCGAAACGTTCACGACTTGCTATGCAGAGTCTTCGGACAATGCCACGTGGGAGCCAAAAAACAAATGGACGGGTAGCTGAGCTCGAGCTGCAACTGCACAGAGGTGCAAACCTCTGCGGGCCTCCTTAATTGTGTGGGCCATATATATATATATACATACACACACACACAGATATATATATATATATATGTGCAGAGAGAGAGAGAGAGAGACAGATAGATCACGGATGACTCGAGTTGTGCATCTGGGTTTACCATGGTGATTGTTTTCCGGGGGTCGGACAAGGGCACACTCGAGGGAACGGGCACCTCTCCCGCCCCGACAGGGGCCGAGAAGACAACGCGATGCGAACCTCGAGGGATAGGCCATTGGGCCCAGGGTGCTTGCACCCGTACCCCAAGCAAGCAAACAAGCAACCAAGCAAGAGAGCGAGAGAGAGAGAGAGAGAGAGAAGCCTGAATAATTCCAGTAGTCTTCCCCGGGGCTCCTTATTCTGATCTTATCATAAAGATATTCCCCATTCAGCTCTTTGAGGCCCCTACATTAAATTAGGGCCCTTATGGCACCAGTTGCGCGATCTTTCGAGGTTTTCAGAGCTGCCTCCGTGCGTCCCTTGATTGAATCTTTCGGGAAGGACCCGTGGAAGCTGAAATACTTCCTCGATCTGAAAGAGACGTCACCTCAAGCGGCTCCCTGCATCAAATGCCCTGAGACCGAGGAATCTCACATGCGGCTTGCCGTATATTATGTGTGCCATGGGCTAGCTTACCAAGTCCTCCCCATTTTCGTGTGCAACACATTGCCTACTTGTCAGCTGCGTTTACGGATTTGCTCGTGCAGCCTTGTTAAGCCCTACTGAATCCTATAGCACGCAATCTCTACAGAGGCTCGACCTGCTCGCCAAGATGGCACTCTATGCCCCGGAGACGTGGTATGAGATCGTGACAGGACGGACAAGGTTGTCAATGGATGAGTGACTGCCTGGTCCAAAGTGCCCCAGTATGCCTAAGTACAACAGGGGCCGCCCGAACAAGTCTGACCGTAGGCCACCCACTCACAGGACAGAAGTGCCCGGCAGAAGCCAAGAACGACTACCCCAACATCGGGGTAGCCTTTGACGCCAGCTCTAGATTGCGGCGTGCGGGCATTGAATGGTACCACAACGAACTGACGACGAATCCTGGCCTGTTGATGTAGCCCTTTCGGATCGGGCGGGGTGCTATATCAGGACATATGCAAACAATCTTACAAGGATCTCAGCAAGAGTGAGTTATGGTGCAGCCGCGCCTGCCGTACGCGAGCGTGCTTTTCGAACCCAGAGTCTAGGCTCTAAGCCCTAAGCCCCTAAACCCTCTACAGTAAGAGGGAAGAACAAACCCCTTAATAAACCCATTTTAATCCTAAAGGCAATGGATGCAGTCTCACGGCGGCGTTGTGCCATTCTGCCACCTGCCGGTGAGCCTTCAAGGCGGCGCGACGGCCCTTGTGGAGGCAAAGTCGTGGCAGACGGTGCAAGCCGAGGACATAGCCTGAATTCAGCTTCGTGAAGATAGGGTCCTAGAGCGAGTAGGGCTTTGGGGTTTATTATGCTATAACTCGCTATGGACTCTCCGAAATTTTAAGCCCCTGTTTTCTAGATCCAGGACAAGATACCTTCGCAACCGTCGGCAGAGTCCCCGACTGTGCGGGTGGTGGCAATCAGCGACACGCATCTCCTGCACCACCTTTTACCGAAGCTTCCCCAAGGAGGGACGACATCTGAAAGCCTTTAGGAAAACCTCATCCTGGCATCAGTGGGGTCTGCTGAAGGGTTCGGAGACTGGGGTTAGCAGTGGCCTTCAGGGTCCAGGGGCGCATCGCTAACGGTGAGGAACTCAACCGCAAAGGTGAAGGTTGAGACACGGGCCTCGGTTGCTTCCTGAATGCAAGAGTCGAGCATCAAACGCAAACACTGCAGCAGACACCAAGTATGCACAACACATGTGCTCAGGCACATGCCAACAGAGACGAAAATGGGTAGCATGGTGGATTCCCAACCCCCCTCGAAGCCACAAGATCGTCAATGCTACAATGCAGCAACGCCGACGCATCTTGTCGCAAACGTTTCCAGGAGATCTTCTGATACACTGCGGAGATCTCAGCTACGAGGAGTCGCGATCACAGGATGCCAGGGAGTTCGATGAGAAGTGGCAGGACAGCAGAAACCCTAAACCCGAAGGGTTTGGGGTTTCTTGGAAACCAATTTCCTGCTAGGGCTAGGAGGGTGCATGGGAATGTTTTGTTTACCATGGCAACTTTCTGCCAAAAAAACGTTCTTGCTGTGGGGTACCGATGATAGAGAATATCACGGTAGTGGCGTGTTGGCCACAACATGATAGTAAGGCTATGCCAGCAGTGAGTCTTGTTGTACCCTCCAGACGCCGTGTTCGCGCGCAGTCCACGCCTCCCGTTTCCCTCAGTATTTATAGTGTTTCCTTTGGGTCACATGCCGAATACACTGGTGGGCACACTGTTTTCGGCACTTGTTAAAACCCGCATCGCGCACATCCCGTTTCATTCATTGTTTACAGTGTTTCCTCTCGTTCCCATGCCGAATACACCGGTGGGTACACTGTCTTCGGCACTTGCTAAACCCACGTCGGGCACATGCCGCAAGACCCGATCCGTTCACGCAAAGCATCCATGCCGGAACAGTAATAATGTCCACCCTGACTTCATCCGTTCATGCAAAGCATCCATGCCGGAACCGTATAAGAACGTCCACCCCGACTTCATCCGTTCACGCAAAGCATCCATGCCGGAACCGTATAAGAACGTCCACCCCGACTCCATCCGTTCACGCAAAGCATGCCGGAACTTATTAACGTCCACACAGAATGGCGCCGCGCAATGCGCACACAACTCTTCTTGCTGCTCGTCGATTGTTGCGACTGGATTGAAAAGAATTTTCGAGGCTTTGTATCTTTATCGTGCAGGGAGAGCTCTACTTTGGATGCGATCCGTCGCTCTACTGCCACTGCGATGTGAAGCCTGATGCAAAGTGGATGTTTTGCCAGCGACGGGTGGAAGGCACAGCGGATTTGAACAAACAACTGCAAGTTTTGCACACCGTCGGGGTGTGGCGGTGCAAACCACGAATCACTCGGAAAGGACGACGTTTGCAGCATTCCTTCTTGAATCGGCGCGCGCGCGCGAACAGTACATCTGGCGCGTTGTTGTAGGCAGTGCGGAGTATTCACGAATCACTTCGGGAAGGTTGCTGGAAGGTTTTCGCTGCCTCAGAGCACTTCTACAGGTAGCGAGAATCCACAGCTGCTACAACGAGGGGGGCGGGTCTGCAAATTGGAAATAAGACATATATGTTCAAGGGCCCAGATTGCTGAATAACTTTTGTTTCATTTGTTGGATGTCTTGAGCTTTCTTCGAGTTTTCGAAGCGGTTGGAGCTCGGCAAGGTCGAGTACGTCATGAACCCTGCCCAGTGGACGTACCGTATCCTTGAAGGAACACCGTTCGAATTATCAGGGCCCATATGGTTTAGGCTTAGTTCTAAACCTCGAAGCTTCATCCGGGCCCCACAAATTCTAAGCAAAACGCTCGATCCCAGTGCAACAAAGAAATTTAGGCTCCGAGTTTTCAATCGTCGCCAAAGGGTGGAGAGAGGCGGAGAGAGATTGGGAGAACTTAAGCTTTTCTTCTTGTCAGGCAGGGTAGCCCTCCTCACATCTCCTTTTCTTGTTTTTTACTCAGTTTCCCTCAGGCGACCCACAAAAAAGTGTGTGTATACCTGCATTGTGCAGCCTGCTCTGCCATAGCCACCGCAGCGGTGGTTCCGCCGGGAGCCGGGTGTGAAACAGTGGTGTTCGAGGCACGGGTTTCTTAGATACGAAAAAACATTTCTTGTCGAGGTGATGGGGGATGGGAACATGATGGAGTGATTGTTTCACCTCGTAGAGGGTAACTGTTGTCGTGTTGCTGAGGTACCACCCTTTTCTACTTTAGGTAGCGGTCCCGCCGACATGATGTAGCTCGTCGCGCTGCCCGTGTCACACGGATCGCCTGCTGTGTGTTGTTTTTGTTTGCGTGCTTGTTTGTTTTGCTTTTCGTGTTTGTATCTGAGTGTGTGTGTGTGTTTTCGCATGCCATCTTTGTTGTGTTGCAAGTTGTTACTTGTAGAATCCTTTAGCCGAGTCTGTCTTAGTCGTGGGCTGGTCTTGTGCGTTTCTGGACGCCTGTTGTGTGCTAGGTTAGAATTTGAACACCAGTTCCGGTCGCGATTAGTTTGAGCTGTGAACTCCGTGGTTCTGCACGACTCCCATGATCGATCTCGTCAAATCTTGGCAGGGAAAAGTGGGCAGGTTGATCGCCATAAGCGTGGCTGAAAACCGCTGCTCCATTTCGATATCTAACGACGGATTGAGTATCACTCCAACTCCTTCTATGCCGCAAGGAGTTGGGCGAGAATTTCCCCGAGTTCCTGAATCTGGGACTTTGTTGATGAAGTCAGGTTGTGAAGTCACAGCAAGCAGGCACCCGTAGTATTTGCCTCACATTCCGCCCGTGGCAGCTTTTAACAAGTTCGGGAGCTTTCCTAAACCCAGAAAACCCCACAAAAAGAAGCCCTTGTGATTCTAAAAAAAGCCAGACCAACAAAAGCTCCTAAGAGCCCAGGAAGTGGTTTGAGTGCTCCGGGCTCGCAGCGGCCAAAGCCCTGCGATGGCTCGGAAGCGAGGGCCTCTTCGAGCACCGGGTGCTGCGGCCGGTTTAGGACAGGATTCACACGGTTGATGGTAGAAATACTGCATTACCCATAATAAGGAATAGGCCATAATTCCCATAGTCTAGGGTCCTTAAGGTAATGCGGGATTTATATCATCAGTCGTAACACAGGTTAATTGCTGTGATACAGTTATACCATAATCGCATTCTAGTATACGATAATTTTCTTTAACCATACCATAACATACTTTAACCATGGGGTTCTCGATCCTGTTTCTGGTTCCGGGGCTTTGGGGTCAAAAGGGGCTCTGGCGGGTTTTAGAGTTTAGGGTTCAGGGTTCAGGGAGAAAGGGTTTAGGGAGTTTTGCAGGTTCATGGAGCTTTGCATGTGTCAGCCCTTCATATCAGGAGCATCCTTTTGCACTAGGCATAGGCATTAGCGTCGTTCTGGTTGTAAAGGCCGAATGGCTGGGCCCAGCCTGCTTTCAGCGTACACCCCTATTCCTACGAACTACGAAGGTGCTGGTGGCTGGAAACCATGACTACATCCTGGAGCGGATCGGGGAAAGGAATGCCCAACTATTATGCAAAGCCTTCAATGTCGACGGCTACCTTCACACAAGGAACCCTCCAACAGACCTCCACTTCAAGTCCGGCTGCAAAGTCACAGTGCCTGGGCCTATTCTGATTTTATGCATGTACACTGACACCACGAACATCCTTGAAATAACTTTCAACAAAAGTCAACCTTGGTGTTCGCGTGCGCCAAACCTTTCCTTGACCACCAGCTCCGGACCCTGTACTCTGCATAGCCACGGTGTAGGGTTGAGGGTTCAGGGTTTGGGGTTTAGGGTTCAGGGAGGGTTCCCAGCGCCTGTTGGGCTCGGGAAAGAGGGGGGGGGTTCTTGGCTAACGGATAAGGGTAGTTCTCTAAATTAGGGTTCCTCTTAACGTCCTTTGTGTAAGGGTGTCGTACTCTGTTTGGGACCCCAATTCAGAGAACTAATTACCCATATGTTCAACACCTGTGCCAGAGCACTTCAATTACCCATATGTTCAACACCTGTGCCAGAGCACTTCCACGAACCAACCCAAAGCGTCTTGCTAAACTTGGCACCTGATCCCCAAACTCGACAGAGAGTCTGTCACGCTCGGCTTTCATTGTAAGAAAAGCATCGGTTGTGATTCCGATGCAGGTGTGTCGAGCACTGCACGTCAAAGCACTGCCAACATGACAACAGGCAGCAATGCCGCTCACCGGCTCACAACGAGAGTCAAACTTGTCGCAGGATTGCTTTCAGAGCAGGGATGGCAGTACTGGCAACCGGCGATAAGTCAGATACGACAGCCAAAGCATGGTGCTGCCACTGCTGCCAATTCGGTGGCGATGATAATGTCGAGACCATGACTACGTGTGAGCATGGCAACCAGCATAGATCCCGTTCATGTTGATGAAAACATGAACAGCCTTGCGATGCTGCATTCATCACCATCATTGCTCGCACCACCAGTACCGTCATGAAGCATCCTTGCCACAATGAAGCAGCACTGAAGAAGTCGACTGTGGTTGACACGATTTCCATACCACGGCCAGTACAAGGTCCTCTGATTCTGATTGCCGGCACAAGCATCAGCATCACCACGACCCTTCCTGCTGATACACCAGCGACTGTGGCGACTGCAATGCTAATAAGATGCTTGAAGCAGAGATAGTAGGTCACTGGAGTGTTCAAGATTCAAAAGACCTCCAAACACTAAACTCTGAACCCTACAATAAACCCCTCAAGCTGAGAATCTCACCAGAGACCCTCAACCCTTCTACACCCCCCTCCCAGTTTTGGCAGGTCTGGGGGTCAGGCGTCTCAGCCAAAGCAGGGGTCGGAGGGGAGCGCGCCATCAAGTCCGGAAACGTGGCCTTCGTCTATGACATGGAGGTCTGCCCAGCTACGGGATCCTGTCACTGAGGTTTGCTTCTTCCCGCGGGGAATGTGTAGGCCTAGGCTTCGATGGGGTTCGGCTTTAACAAACGGTCAGCGATAGATGCAACAAAATCCCCCTAAACCCTAACCCCCTCCCTTCCCCCAATCCTAAAGCTCGAAGATGCAAAGCCTTTGCGAAAGCCCTGGGCTCCGCGTCGCAGGCTGGCGACAGTCAGTTTCGTGAGGAGACCGAGCATTTGGACGAAGGGTCGGCAGATATCATTGCCACCAAGCTTGAAACTTGAGGGGTAAGGATGTGGAGCTTTTTGGCGTGATGCGTTGCTGAGAGTTGACTCGAGTGTTAGGACTCGAAGCAAGGTGTGGCACGGCACGATTGGATAGCTTGGAAGGACCTATCGAGATTTAGTCCTTATACAAAAGATTGCGCTGGTACTACATCTGTATGTTGTTTCACTTGTTGTGTCTGTTCACACCTAGATTTGGCCTGTCGCGGTGCCATCGCGGCAAAGTTAAGCATGCCTTTAGCTGAAAACACCCCTAAGCGAGAAACTCATGGTTTATCGAACCCTAAACCTAAATCCCTAAACCGTGAGTAGGCAAGTCCGAGTGTGAGTGCTGAAACCGTGAGTGGCCTAGTCAAAATGACAAGGAAAAAGGCCCGGTTAAAGAACCAACCCTAAACCCTAAAACCGTGAGTGGAGGTGATGCATGGACCGCCGGCCAACGCGCTCTATGGGAAGTCTGGCCGGGTGCTAGAAAGCATTTCGGAGCTGGTGAACTTCGTGAAGCCGACACTCTTTCTGTGTGTCTGAGACGATTTGGTAAGGAGACTTGTGCAGTTCCTGTCTACTGTAAGGTAGTGAAATCTTGTCTGGTATGGCTTGCAGGGTTGATTGAATCATTGTTGACTGCTGGTTCACGAAGTCATGCCGGCTAAAGTTGCGGCTTCGGACATCTTCTGCCCTGAATCCCGGTGTGTCCTGCTGCTTGCGAAAGGAGTCACGCTTGCCATTGAAAACCTGTCACTTGGGAGAAGCGCACCAGATGTGAGGTTCTTTAATTACTGCTCTTTCGACTGTTTTGATTTTATTTTGCAGAACAGCTGCTTTTGCGGTGGTGGATGGGTGTTCTGGGCCTGATCAAAGCACCTGGTACTCTTGTTTCAAAATGGGGCCCACTGTTCTTCTACACTCTGAAACCCAATAACTGTTTCTGTCAGAAGGACAACTCGATTGTGCAAGCATCGAGACTCCCAACCTGTGTCATCTGGCGGTCCTAGGTGGCCACGAGCACAATCCGGACAACTGGAAACTAGAGCAGAAGGTGAGAGGGTTTAGGGTCTTTAGATAGAGCGCGATGATTATTCGCGCTTGAGATGGGGAGCTTCATGTTAGACATCGTTCGTGGTTTTCCACAGCTCTAGAAACTATAACTTCAAGAAGTAGAGCACCATAAACCCGACATCGTACACTCAGAGAACGAGGGCTCTTAGGGCCCCTGGCAGGTGGTGGACATGGGCGGAGGAACTCTTGGCGTTAATTGTGCTTGCACGGGGCGATGGAACCAGTTCTGCGGCATGCCCTTTGTAGCTCCTGGCCTGCCATCCGATGCATGGGCTGATTAGTGGACCGTGAATACTGCATGATACTGTGCGTATGTTTGTGCATGTGTGTGTGTATATGCATGCATGCATGCATGCATGTATGTATGTATGTATGTATGCATGTATGTACACATACGCGTATACATATACATATACATATACATGCCCATATCCATTTGGTATACCCGTGTACATACACACACACATATATATATGTATGTAATTTTATACACCTACGCACAAGGACACAACTTGCTGGGAGACAAAACTCGACAACCATGGCCCCAATAAAGCTGGCAAAGCTTGTGGCAACTTTCTTGAGGTTTATGCACTGTCGATCCTGTTGTAGCGGAGGAGGCGATTCGGGACCACTTAAAAACGTCCCAAATCTTCCATGCCCAGCAAGTTTACCAGTGCTTCAAGATGTAAGCTGTAACCGAGCAAGCACCTTGTTTGATGGAACGTAGGCTTCCGGCCAAGTCGCCCGGGGGGCACAAAGCAACGTTATTAATGTTATGTCATGTTGACGCGGCTGAGGTATAGAAGTGAGTTTGCACCCTTTTGTTAGCCAGTTTATTTGACGTCAGAAGCCTGCTGAACATCTCAGATCTTCTTCATGTAAAACTCTCCCAGCCAACTCAGGGATCCACACTCGATGGCCGTACAAAAGATGACTTGAAGGGCTGTAAGCCAAAGGCCTCAGGCTTTCTAATGCCCACAGAAGACCATGAAACCCTTGTATTTAGAATAGCTACTGTAAGTCTGAAATCCTGCAACACCACACACCTCAACGCTGCACCCCGCACCGCAACACCTGAAAGCCCTCAAATCTGCGATTACTCTCCTTGAGGTTGATATCCCTGCCCGGCGGACAGCCGACCCTGGTCCTCAGGGCTTTTGCTCTGTCATACGGCAAGCGTGTGGTTACGACGGCGATTGATCTCTGTCGGGCCTTGCGCTCATAAGATGTAAGCGTCGAAGCATTGCACTTGAGCCTACGTAGGTAAATTGACCTTTGCAGTCAGGCTGATAGGGTCTCTGTCATGCAAGCCCTGAGCCTGAAACCCTAAACACTAGAACGCCTGGTATCGTCCGAGCGTCAGTGTCAAAACACTAGAGAACCAGGCTCAGCGTCTCACCCACGTGTTGGACCAAGATGGCTTCCGGGATCTGTTTTCGATCTGTTCGGCTCTCATTGTAGGGCCGGCGAAACCTAAAATCCCTGACCTTAACGCCCGTCTCTGATCAATTCATAAGGCCTAGGACCTTTGTTTTTCGATTGCCGGTACCCTTCTTGATACCAAGACGTACCCTACTCATCATTAGCACGGGTAACATAACCGGGCTGAGCTGTTCCGATCCCGATGTCTGCAGTGGTCGTTGCTTGGACGCGACTCCGTGATTGAAGGCGAAAAAAGCTGCTGTGTACGGCGCTTGGGATCAGTCGGGACATCTCTTCTCTTGAGCCAGGTTTTCAAAGTTTCCTAGTTCTGATAGTAAGCCCTCATCGTCAGATTCCTTGGCGCTGGAACGCCAGCTAGAAAGCGTGTAGTTAGAGATGCGTCTGACATCAGCCTGTGTCTAGTATGCAGACTTTCCTGCACTTGCCAGCCATCCTCGTCCGCCTGATGCCTAAAGCTTGGATGCAACGATCGCAAGAACCTCGCACCGAGGTCTGGTGGACCAGTCGTTGCTGCACAATGGTCTGGTGCAGTTCTTTTCGATGGCACCATGATAGGCATCACATTGAAGGTCGGGCAAGAGAGTTGCGAAGGCATCTAAGTTCTGATAGCTGATAGCGCTGGGCAGCAAAGCTCCACAGAAGTGGCCTAATTACCAACTTGCCAACCTCATACCCTCTGCCCTGGCCCCTCTCCGTTCTGTTGCAGCAGGGAAGCTCCAAATAATGCTTTGTGGGGCCGGAAGTTTTCTTTCAGATTAGTGGGCTCAGATCTGAACGGAATCGGGGCATATGACCTGGCATCCCGAGCCGTTCCAATGCGCCATGCATGCGGAGCCCTGGCCCATGCTTGCTCATACTGTGAACTCTGTCTGTCTCTGTGTGTGTGTGTGCGTGTGTGGGGTGCTCAGATTGCAGGAACTGGTGACTCGCGATGGGGTCAGAGCTAGTGGGCCCTTCGATGTAGGAGTTCAGAATATGGTGGCGACACCGATTCTCTTGTGATTTCGAGTATATTGGTATCTGGGACGAACAGGTGCGGTTCAAAGGAGCCCTGCCCTTCGACGGTGCCACTTTCGAATTGTTTCTACCAGTGGCTTAATTTGTTCAAGCATTTATATACTGCTCAATTAATACAATTAAATGATGCATATATTAATCGGAAACACGAAGGGCACCTCGAATCTTGAATTCCGAGAATTTTGCGGCGCGGCAGGGCGGCCGGGGCAAGTTCTTCTACGACCGTCCCGGGCAGAGGCGCCGCGGAATGGGGAAAAGTGAAGTGTAGCCAGATACTATAATTAGGGGCCTTAATAATTCGAATGGGGTTTTGTGGCATGGTATACTACAGTTATAATAAGAAGCCCACCCAAAATAGCATAGGTAATTATCAAGGCCCCTATAGTACCCCAATCTCCTTGAATTCCGGGAGGGATCCTGGCTAGGTTGATGGTTCAAAGGTTGAAACCACCCTGTGCCCCAGAGACGTGGCGATGTCTGCCAGGGAAATTCCGCTGTTTGGGGTTCAATTCCCAAGTCCTATATGGCTGAGAAGCATTGAGCCTTTTTGCTCGTGCTGCGATGGCTTCAGGGGAGTGGAGCTTTGTGTTGGAAGTGATTCTCTTATGGAGGATGATATGTGGCTGAGGCGCCGAACTGATGGGCGTTTATTGGTGCTCCTGTTTACGTCCTGCCAGGTCTGTAATTACTTGGACCGGACCGGAAAACGTAACTGGCCTGCGAAGCGAAAAGCCACAAAGCTTCAACGGTCTCAGCGACCAAAGAGTCGCCGGGAACTCTTACGTAAACTGAGCGACTTCAGTTAATTCAATTGATTCAATCGTGGGGCTTTGCCGGGTCAGAGGCAGCAGAGAAGGGATTTCAGTTATTTCAAATCATTGGGTACCCCAAGTAATTCAAATAATTGAAATCGGGCTTTTCGTCCTTGAACAGCGAAAACCCCACGGTTTAAATCTTTGAAATAATTGAAACAGGCTCGATTTCAATTATTGCAATTCTTGGGCCACAAAAAAAACTGAATGAGAAGCCGTAGCCCCCACTGCGAGGTATAGGCTCAACTACACTGCCACATCGAAGTTGTTCCATCCAGACGGCAAGCTTGAGCAGGACAAGCATGGGCATTTCACGTGACACTTCCGGGGGGTCCTCGGTTTAGGAACACAGAACCCTAAACCCTAAACGCTGAACCCTAAACCCTGGGAGGGGTGCGAACCTCGCCTGGCTTGTCCGAGTTGTGAGAGCGTAAACCCTGGGAGGGACAAAAATCGAGTTCGTCCTTGCTAAGTAGGAGGGGAAAAATCGAGTTATAGGAACACTGAACCCAAAACCCTAAACCGAGGTGTAGGAACACTGAACCCTAAGCCCTAAGGCTCGTCCTAGCTAGGTGGGAGGCAAAATAACCGAGTTTAGGAAGACTGATCCCTAAACCCTAAACCGAGTTTAGGTTCTCGGCTGCAACTCAGGGCCGAAGGATTTTTTCCGTTCAGGCACCGGGGATTCTTGGCACTCACTGTATTTTGGGGTTTGAGGGTTTCAGATGTATGGGGGGTTGCCTGTGCTTCAGTAAATGCTCGGAACTCGTCGACATGACGGCGCAGCTTCAGCCGCTGCTTCGACGACCACCTTCGCCACCGCCACCGCACCAGCACCAGCACCAGCACCAGCAGCAGCAGCACCACCACCACCGCCACCGCCAGCAGCAGCAGCAACAGCAGCAGCAGCAGCAGGAGCAGCAGGTGCCGCCACCGCCACCACCACCACCACCACCACCACCACCACCACCACCCCCACCCCCACCACCACCACCACCACCACCAGCAGCACCAGCAGCATCAGCAGCACCAGCAGCACCAGCAGCACCAGCAGCACCAGCACCACCAGCAGCACCAGCAGCACCAGCACCACCAGCACCACCAGCAGCACCAGCAGCACCAGCAGCACCACC